TTTTATTTTCAAACTAAAATATATATATATATATATATATATATATATATATATATATATATATATATATAACTTAAAAAAAAAGCCTATTTTAGTCCCTTGAACTACCTTTAACATCACCGATAGAGATAAAATGAGGTTGTAAAGTAACAAATTGAATTTGATATCATATTTTTATTAATAAGAATATTATTAGGTGAATTTTGTTACATATTCATCAACAAGTGAGTTTTGTGTAGCATATTCATTAATATATATTTTTTTAGAAAAAAGGATTAAAACATTTTTTTTAAATTTATAGGAACTAAAATAACTTTTATCTTTTTTAATCTAGACAAGAAAAAAAATAAATTTATCTTTAGATCACTCAAAAAATATTTAAATCTTTTTAAAACGTATACAAATGCAAATGATTTAATTACATTTATATTATTATTTTTATAAAACTTAACATAAATTATTGATATTATATAATTGAAGATAATAATTAGATCGATAAAATCACATTCTATATAAATTATGATAAATGGTACATGCCCAACAATTTGCATAAAGAAAAAAGAGGGGGGAAAAGCAAAGAAAAGAAAATTTATATATAATAAATAATGTGATTAAAAAAAGATAGATAAAAAAAATTGATTCTTGTACAAAATATTGTATGGGTTGTTGCACGTCATCATTATTGTAAAGTTATTAGTATTAATAATGTATTATTTTGTGTTGTAATTTGAATGCTTCTCTCTCTATATATACATATATATATATATATCCACGTTAGCATATACATGTAAAAGTTGTTAAGCAATATCTCAGGATTAGGTCTTATAGATGAAAAAAAGTTTACTTGAGAGAACAAATCGTACTAAAGGTGGTCAAGTAGATTTCTTAGTAGAAATTAGTCATTAACAAAGTTGATACATTACATAGACTAAATGTTTATTTTTATATAACTAAAATTTATAATTATTATGTATACAAATAATTTTTTATCTTTGAATATATAAATTATATTTAAAATTTTCATATATTGATATTTTAAATATATAAATTATATTTTTGATTAAAATGATAAATAATTTATATTATGATACAAGATTATTTTTAATTATTAATTTATTTTAAAGATTAAAATTTAATTCATAAATAAATAATAAATAATAATCCAGTTAAATAAAAAGTTAAAAGAACCCCTTAAAACTTCTCATCAAATAAAAGCCCTTAAAAAACATTATCATACAAGATATTTATTTGTTTTTAATATATACTAGAGTAAGAAAAGTATGCCATGCCTCCATTTATTTTGTTTAAAAAATATAAATAAAATAAATCATAAAAATAATTGCAGTTAAATTTTATGAGAGTGGTTAACAATTAAAACTAGAAGGTATTTTTGAGTAGTTATTTAGAGGATGTAAAAAGTTTGAAAAATAAATTTATAGAGAAGTAGAAAAAAAATAATAATAATAAACTATATAAAAAATTGAGTGGGAAAAAAAGTGTTTTAAAAGTTAAGGGGCAAAATGTGTATACTAAGAAGGCATATCACCTTTATTAATAGTACTAGGACACTTTGTGCCTCCTTGTATTTTGTTTAAAAAATAAAAATAAATAAGTAAAGTTAAATATGAGTTAACAATTTTGAGTAGTTATTCATAGGATGTGAGAAGATTGAAAAATAAATTTATGGAAAAATAAATGTAAAAAGAGAATAAAAACTAAATAAAAAAGATGAGAGAGAAAATGTATTTTGTAAGTTAAGGGACAAAACTATCAATAAAATTTGTACACAAAAAAATATCATTTTTATTAATAGTGTGTATATATATACACATACAATAATCGAGTATTAAAATTATTTAATTTTGCATCTATCCTAATCACATTTAAAGTGATTAAATATTAACAAAGTTACTAATATAAATACAGGATTTAATAGTGATACAATAATAGTGTAAAATAATTTTACATAGTTATCTAATCATAATTCACCATAAATGAAAGTGAGTTGACTTTTATAATACTACTTCTATTCCTAATTATATGCAACATAGGAAAATTTATCAAGACTAAGAAAAACAAGTAATATGGTTATTTTTAATTGATTTTATCATAAATTCAAATTTTATTCTAAATATACTTTTTACTTAAAGTGATTGTCATACTAATATTAGTTATAAATAAGAAATAGAGTAATAATAAAAGAAGGGTATAAAAGAAATTTAATTCTAAATAACTTTAAAAATTAATGATTCTTGCTTAATACTAATATCAAAGAAAATTTCAATTTATTGCTTATAATTAGGAGCAAGGATATAAACTATCTAAAAATTCATACAAACTATAATTTCAAATTGATTGATTGTGTAAAACTTTTTATGTATAACATCATACAAACCTTAAATCTTAAACTTTTAAAAAATACTTACAAAGTTCTTTATGTCTAACATCATGTTAAATAAAGGAGAGAAAAAGGAGCACAATATATTGTGTATATTGATAGGATTTAATGATAATGCACTAATAATATAAAATATTTTTATATATCAATTAATCACAATCCATCATAAATAATAATTTTGTTAACTTTTACAATAACTATTTTCTATTGATGGAATGTATAGAACTTTTTATACTAACAATAAATTATTATTAAACTCATATTTATATATAATAATAGATAAGGGAATACATTCTTCCTTAACTATTTTTGTCTCTATTTTTAATAAGATCATTTTAATATTGACAATTTTCTTAAAAAAAAAGTAATTTATTTATATATAAATTTTTATTTTTGTTTACGTTTTAGTCTTTTAATCTCTTTAAGTAATTCTAAGTTAAATTTTTTATTGCAAATAAAAAAATTTCACTATGCATACAAATACCCTTTTTATTCTCGATTCTTTATTATAACCGTACACAATTATTTCTAAAATTCTCATTTTATTTTATAAAAAAAAAATAAAAGATACTAAGGGGTGTATTGGATTAAGATTTTAAAGGACTTTTTAGTTAAAAAAAGTCCTGAGAATTTTAAAATATTTTGCAGGATTTTCATGACTTTTAAGATTTTGCAGAATTCTACAAGACTTAAAATTAGAATTTTAATAGATTCTGCAAGACTTTTAAATTAGGATTTTAATGGATTCTGTGAGATTTTATAGATTTTGCATAATTTTTGTGAATTTTTGACATTTGATAAAATTTCAAAAAAAAATTCATACATTCAAATTTAAAAAGAGTCAAAGACAAAAATAATAAAAAACAACAATGTCTAGATAAATAATAATAATAATAATAATTCTCCATAATAGCTTGTCCTCTTAAATAACATTCACCCACATATCCATAGCTATACTAGTCCTCCAAGCATTAGCCTCTTCTAGCTCTTGCTCCTAGGTTTGAATAATAGGCTTAAAAGTATGATCTTCATTAACCGGTAATGTTGAAGATGAAGGTTCATCCACCGCTTCAATTGGAAATTCATCAGAACGACGTAGAAAGTTACGTAGTGCTACACATACTAATACAAGTTCTACTTGTGTCTTAAATAAAAATGGATGTGTTAACTTAAAAATTGTGAACCTTGATTTAAAATTACCAAATATTCTCTCGATCACATTCCTTAAAGACGCATGACGAAGATTGAACAATTTTTTTCTCATTTTCAGGGTCATTACCCTGACCTGCAAAATCTTGTAGATGATATCTTACACCTCAAAATGGAGCTAAAAATTGGCGTCGATTAGGAAATCCACAATCCACAAAAAAATATTTACCTAATTACATATGCAATATATATAATATTGGTATAATAATAATAATAAATTATAATTATAATTATAATAATAATTATTATTATTTAAAAAATAAGCATTTACCTTGAGCCACTTTAAGTCCATTCCTCCTTGTTATAACATCATTTAGTAGCTTAGAATCATGAGCCGAACCCTCCCACCCACTAAGAATGTACATGAACTCTAAATCAAAATTACAAGCGGCTAATACATTTTGTGATATCTTTCCATGACGATTACGATAACTACTTACATCTCGTCCCCTCACTATTGCTGGAATATGTGTCCCGTCAATAGCTCCAATGCAATCCTAAAATTTAACATATATAACAATTCATCGTATGAAAAATATAATTATAGTAGTGTCAAATTTAATTATAATTTTTATTGTAAGATAATTAGTACATACCTTGAAGAAAGGGAAGAACCTTGTGCTTTCTCTAATTTTAGCTGGCATAGTTGATCATGGTTTAGCCATCAAAGTAGGTGCTATCGTATTCAAAGCCTTCAAAATCTTGTGAAAATTTTCACTTGTAGCAAATTGTGATTAGCCAAATGTGTTACGAATTACACAATATCAAGTATTCTGACCAACAATTTGTAGGAATGATGCAAGCATTTCTTCAACACAAATATATCGTGTATCCTCTAAAGGTGTTTTTACTCTAAGAATTGCACATAACTTTCAAAATACATCTGGATACATCCTATAAACTTGTCGAAATATTGCAGGATCATCGTTTAATGCTCGACGTATATAGTCATTTCCCATGTTAGTAATTCGTTGTCGATTTAATGGACACTCAATTTGTTCATTACGTATCATAACTATAAACTGAGTCAACACATGCATTAATGCATGAATTGCCGTTACACATGCGTACATGGCATCATAAAATTCTTTGTCATATATCTCTTTGTCACCTATCGCTTCTTCATCTATGTCACTACCTTCATACATGCTCGAATGTGACATTGTACCTATATAAAACAATATAACTAAAAATAATAATATAATAAAAAAATAAAACATGCTAAAATATTTCAATCAAGTACGGTCAAAATAACACCAAAACAATATAATTCTACCATTCAAAATATAAATAATTATGGATAAGAGACAAAATCAATAAAATTATATTATTATTTTTAGAAGCAAATCAATCATACAAGATCGAATATATCTTGGCTATCCAAATAGATCAAATACCCCAACCATTATAAAAAAACATGTAAAAACGGAAGTATAGAAATATAAGATAGTTTTTTATATTATAAAAATCAGTATATTCGATACTGAGAAAATATTTAGATATATAATTTTTTTTATATAAACGAGAGTATTTAGATATAGAGAATATATATATAT